GTGGTTAAGCTTGCACGCTCCGCTGCAGGACGCCCAGGGTTTCATCAGTTCGAGTCCTGGGCGTGGACATAGCACTGCTCATCTTGAGCTACGCTGAGGCGGCGTCCCACATGCCACAACTAGAAGGACCCACAACTAAAAATATACAACTATGTACCTGGGGGCTTTGGGGAGAAAAAGGAAAAAAAATAAAATCTTTTAAAAAATAAAATAAAATAAAATACAGATACCTAAGGAAATGTCCAATTAAAAATTTTATCCAAAGATATCATTTGGATAAAAATGCAAAGTCAATATAAAAAGTCTCTTTATGTTTCAATATGAGTTTAGTCTCTGGAATTCTCCTTTTGTTGTCACATACAGCATTAGTAATCCTGATTGTCTTTTCTGAGCCACGCAACCTTGGCTTGGTCTCAGATAGCACAAATCTAAAACGAGGGTTAGGCAAAACAATCTTTTAAAGACCCTTTCAATTAGAAGTGTCGATGATCTCTTAATTCTGTGACCTAAGTTGACTATCAGATTCTCGTATTTTTCCATTATAAGATGGAAAATGTTCATGTTTCTAAACAAAAGATACTACATTTTAAAAAGAGGATGGCAAAATAAAGTTTGAAGCTTTACTTGAAATTAATTCAGAGTAAAAACTAAAATAATTAATATAGTGTATAAATTATACGAATAGTGCATAAATATATATGTACATAAATTATATGTATCAGTAGTATCCTGGGGAAAGGGGACGTTCCCCCAAAAGAAAGATATGAATATTTACCAAAGTAGATTAATTCCATAAAGTAACTGAGACACCAAACAGAAACAAAGAAAGCATGAGAAAAAAGGTGAAAATACATCAATTTATATTTTCCACTGCTCTCTATCAATGAAAATCTGACATAGTCATATTTCGTCAAATTTGACTATGTCAAACAGGTACTATGATTAAGAGTTCTGTTTTCATAACTACAATAAATTGTCTTGCATCGAAACAATCCTGATTATTAAGGTGTGACTGATTCACTCATGGGGAACCTCTAGTTTACAGCTTAATTTAATCTGTCCCAAATACCCAAATACCAAATACCTCAGTGACAGCAGGAATTGTAAAAACACGTTACAGTTTAAAGGTTTTTAGCATCATTTTCCAAAAATTCCTCAAAACATTACTCCCTGAAGGACTGACTCTAAGGACTCTAAGTGTGTGTCTGCCCCAACACGTGAAAAAACAAATCCACAATTCTAGTCATTTTAATACCCTTATTCTACTGTCATGCATGCTGTTCTACGAGTCTTTATGCAGAAAAAGCTAACAAAATAAACAGTAAAATGTGTGATTATTTATGCCATTATTTGAAAATCAACACATTGTATACGCTTTAACACAGAATTTTAAGTCATCTTCTCAGTCATATACTCCCAAATGTAAATGGTTACCAAAAATAACAGAGATTACACAGAGTAGGTCATGATATATATATCAAAGGAGATTAGATATAAAGTGATAAAAAAGAATGCCTGAATAAGTCTTTAAGCATTCTTAATCTTACATAAGCATTGATATATTCTTATATATTATTTCAGAATATGAGCATTTCCCAGTTACAATCGTAAGAAATTTATTTTAAATAAAAATAGAAACTATTTTTCATGAATCAATGTAAAAATAGTTCATGAAATTCACTCTCAAAAGATGACTGAAGCAAAATAACCATGAATCTGAATGTTTATTTGTTTGAGTAATAAAAGCAACTTTAAGTAAACACTGCTTGATTTCTTAACACACTAAAATTATTTTGTTTGATTGGTTTACTTTCAAATGGGAAAAAAGCCCACTTTATCAATGAAGAGTAAAGGCAGTATCTCAAAATGTCCTACCAAATTAGAAAAAAATAATTCACAGTATAAAAAATAGTGTCTGTGGTAAACTTCTTATCAAGAAAAACTTTCATATACTATGCCTTCTATCTAATACACTTTTATCAAATAAACCAATCTTCACTCTCCATCTTAAACTAAAGTAGTGTGAAATATGAGAAAGCTACTTATTTTAATATAATTCATCTTAAGTAACAAACCAGCAAAAATGTTCTTACATTCTAACAATGATGTTAAATTATAACCATTTAACATATGTACATAATCAGTACAGCTATTACTTAGATTCGGTTCAATACAATAAACATTGTAAAAATAAATGTCCTCTAGATGCTATAAACAAACAAAAAATACTCCCCATATGCTAACAGAGTAATCAAACTATCAATGAACTTAAGAAGCCTATAAACCCACTGGTTAATTACTGTGTAAAAGAAGTTAGCATTAACCATACTGACCTAAAATTATTTTAAGATTTATGGCAGGAGTTCTCAACTTTGGCTTTAATAGTAGAATCACCTGGGGAGACTCAAACTACCAATACCCGGGTTCCACCCCTCGATCCAATTTTAATTAGCCTGAGATGGGGACCAAGTATCAATATTTGTAAAAGAAACAAACAAAACACAGGTAAATTGAGCTAAATGTGCAGCAGATTTGAGAACCACCAATTTATGGTATGCTACAGTTTTAAGATTAAAAGAAAACTTTCTCACTGGCACCAAAGGTTTTAAGTCTACTAAAACCTCAGATGTAGAAGAAAGGAGAGTGAAGAAAAGAGAGAAAGACAATATTCAAAAAAATAATGGAGGTCTATTGAACTTTTCTTCCCTTTAAAAATGTTAAAAGTTTAAAGTCTTATTTTGGACTTTGTTGATATATCTGCTCATGTTGCATTACTTTATAGCTAACAGCTAAATAAAAGCCTAGAGATACAAACTCAACAGCAAGAACAAAAGAATGACAGAAATAATCATTTAAACTTAACACCGTATAAAAGATAGTAAGTTAATGTAGTATCACAAAGCAAATGAGAGACAAAATTATAGTCCTTTTAATAACTTTTTCTAACCTCAATACTACATACAATGTTTCTTTAAACCACTTTCCAAGACATTCAATTCTCCAGTGTCTGAAAAGAGAAAATTTCATTTTAAGAAGATAAAAACTACACAGCTCTAGTCTGATTATCTGAGAGTAGAAAGAACAAACAAGTGCAGAATATTTCCCGTATGAAAGCAGCACATACTCTGTAAGATCAGCCTACAATACTCCCTATTTCTAACGCGGTCCAAAGAAGTTAATGTTTCTACGCAATAAGATAAAGGAAAAGTTCTTAACTATAAATATTTGTCATTTTAGCATACTTTCACAGAATTCAATTTTTCTCTAGTAACTGCTAAAAGTATATGAAAATTACTAGCAACATGATCTAGCATGGAGGGAGGAATAAAGATCATCATAACTTACAACATACCTCAGAGTATGTTTGTTACAAATCAGATGGCAAAACTTAAAAAAAATTAAAGTAGGTCAATCTGACAATAAAACTAAAAAAAAATACATTAAAGCAAGTTACACAAAGTGAGAGAATCAGTTTAACTTCCATGTAATTTCATTTTTCTTACATTCTTAAAACATTTTGAGGAGGTACACTTTAGAACACATAAAATAAGAGATAACAGGGGCTGGCCCCGTGGCCGAGTGATTAAGTTCGCGCGCTCCGCTGCAAGCGGCCCAGTGTTTCGTTGGTTCGAATCCTGGGCGCGGACATGACACTGCTCATCAAACCACGCTGAGGCAGTGTCCCACATGCCACAACTAGAAGGACCCACAACGAAGAATATACAACTATGTACCGGGGGGCTTTGGGGAGAAAAAGGAAAAAATAAAATCTTAAAAAAAAATAAATAAATAAGAGATAACAACCCAATAAAGAACTAAACATTCTGATAAATCTTTAAGTGTCTTCATTTATATATTAGAAAATTAAAATATACTGTAACCCAAATTCAGTGACATATTATAACACTAATATCTAAGTGCCAATACCCTGGTAAAGATTTTGAGATTTTGAAGAGAGCACATTTTGAATTCAGAATAGTTAGAGATGAAAGATGTACATTTCTATGTTATTAAAGACAATGAGATTTTTCATTATAGATCCGTAGTTTTATTAAACAACTTCAGCACCTGTTATATGCCATAAAAATAAGCCTCCAAAAGACTGTTTCTAGAATGACTTCATAGAATTCCAGTTTGGTATATCATAAAGATATTAATCTGTACACATTAGAATATTTTTGGCATACACTTTTTCACATTCCTCTCTCCTGAAAAAATGTGATGCAAAATTTTAAAAGAATACCAAGCCTCAGAAGTTACGCTTCCTCAAGAAATAGTTGTTGAATTAGCTCCTAATTATTTACTGATATAAGAACTCCTAAAACTTTAATTTACAAGTCTCCAAACCTATCAAAGGTTAAACCCATAAAGAATGAGCTGGTGAGCAGAAGCTGAGGTAACAGAAAAGAAAGGATCAATAAAGATAATTGGAGAGAGAACCACTGTCTGTAGGTCAGTCATTTTATGACTGTCAAACTGTGCACAAGCATACACATACACGATTATAAAACACACAGACACACAGAGTAAATATGCTCCATTGTTTTACTAGTCCCAGTCTAAAGACATGGCATAAATAGAAATGAAAAGCTGTGATGTCCAGACTAATTATGGACTAATGATTCACTGAATGATGGAAGGAAGCAAGGATGGATGGAAGGATGGATGGATGGATGGATGGATGGAGAGAAAGTTATTAAACTACATCAGGGCGGGGGGCGGGGCACAACACAGATAAGAACTTTGACTCTAAACCAATATCTGTGATTCACAATACTAAGGTGATTTAAGGATATTAAGAGATCCTTCAGAGACTAAATGTGAGCTAAACAAAAAAAATTTTAATTGAAATACAAAGTAATCATAATACATATTATAAAAAGCAAAAAAAAGATCTATATAATAGGGCTGGTTATATTAGTTTTATACTGTGCAGTTTAAATTATCTTTCCTTAGAAAGAAGTTTTATGCAACTAAATGTAGGGGTTAATGCATCTTACCTTCCACAGAAGGTGCCTGGTCCTGAGCTGAATACAGCATATCCTTGAAAGCCTATTAAAAGAAAGAAAAGAAATACATGAAATCCTGAGTAATCTTTAAACTAAAAGCATTTGAAGCTTTTCTTTTGAATTACTTCTTTTTCAATAACCAAACAATGACCACATATGGTTACCTAAATTAAGAACTTAGTGAAATACTTCAAGTAACTTTTAAAAAGCTAAAACCCAAATACTATACTTTCATGTCAATCCAGTACTGTCCAATCTTTAGGACAAAAGCTAATCTGTATGCTTTAAAAATTAAAAGCCATTTGAAAAGAATAAAAAATCACCTGAAAGATCTTAAACTCTCTTGACTAAAAGAAAACAGTGATAGAGCTGAGAATAATGGTCCTAGAAGAAGAAAATGGAACACTCCATAAGAAAATACGAAATGCTGGGAAAAACATTTTTTTAATTGTGATAACATACGTAACATAAAAATCACCATCTTAACGATTTCAGTTCAGTAGTGTTAAGTACATTCATACTGCTGAGTAGAGTATCTCCAGAATTCTTTTCACCTTGAATACAAATACTTCTCAGTGGAGGTCTGCAAAGTCCTCCACAAGAGTTCAGGACGATAAAGATAGTACAGGTTCGGGGGCTTTTTTCCAAACTAGTAAATTAACTAACAATCATATTTAGGTAATTTGGATGGTTGCAGTTTGGTCTCTCAATAAGCGGTTTTGAGATAGGAATGAAAAGCATTTCTCCACACCTATCAAAATGGGAGAATCAATTAAGTGGATAAGGCTCTAGAGCTGAAGAGCTGGTCATAAGCTTAGGTGACTTTATCCAGTCCCATAGCTTCAAAGCTTTAAATACCATCTAACCATTAGCCACTCTTAAATCGGCCTTCCTCAACCTCAGTACAAGTGACATTTGGCCAGATAATTCTTTGTTGTCAGGGGCTATTCCGTGCATAATAGGATTTTTAATAACATCCCTGGCATCTAGACACCCACTAGATACTAGCAGCAACCCCCCTCTCCAAAGTTGCGACCACCAAAAACGTCTCCAGACACTGCCAAATGTCTCCTGGGGGACAAAATTAGCCCTCCCCAGAACCACTAGCGGAGAGTCATTAAAGCATATAAAAAACAAAAAAGAAGAAATAAACCTCCAGGGTAACCCACTCTGTATTCAATCTAGTAAATTATATTCTTCCCTAGTGAATTTACCATTCACTTTAGATTAGTGACCAAACTGTTAGTTCCCTGTCTAACCAAGCCTGACAATATACAGTAAAAAAGATTCCCAATGAAACGAGGAAAATTAAAAATTTTAAATCAATGCATTTTTGTTCATTTTAACCTATATTTTCTAAAGAATTTTTGTAGGAAAATTATGTATATATAAAAATTTTGATGTCACACATGCTTAAATCCAAAAATATTCAATAAGATTCACTATAATAGAATTTTAGGCAATACAGTAATACAGTTGTGGTATAATAAAAAAATACGTGCCCTTTGTTTCAGGTTCCTGGCACAACGCTCCAAAAACCTTTGGGATTTACTGTCTTTTGAGTACTAACGAGATGGCTCATGGGGGGCAGGAGGCAGGGCTAGATAGCTTCAGCATGGTGGTTGGACCTAGGAAAACCCAACCACCTGATTACTGTGATTAGAGGGTTAAAACTTTCAGCCCCACTCCCAGACCTCTGAGGAAAGGAGAGTGGCTAAAAAGTGAGTTCAATCACCAAGCGCCAAAGATGTAATCAATCATGCCTATGTAATGAAACTTCCATAAAAGCTCCAAAAAACGTCAGGGTTCAGAAAGCTTCCAGGTTAATGAACACATTGATATGCTGGGAGAAGGCATGGAAGCTCTGCACCACCCCTGTCCCCACGCCATTACCTATGCATCTCTTCCATTCGACTGTTAAGTTGTATTCTTTACAATAAATCTGTAAGGGTAAGCATGGCACTTTCATGAGTCCTGTGAGTCATTCTAGCAAATTATCAAACTGAGGGTGAGGGGGTGGGAATCTCCAAATTTGTAGTCAGCCAGGCAGAAGTGTGGGTAGCCTGGGTACCCCATTTGCAGCTGGCATCTTAAGCAGGGGCAGTCTTGCGGGACTAAGCCCTTAACCCACAGAGTCTGTACTAACTCCAGAGAGTTAGTGTCAGAATTGAACTGAATCGTTAGACACCCATTTGATGTTGGAGAAAGGGTTGTTGGTGTCAGTAAAAAGAAATACATTTGGGATCAGAAGTCATGATAGAAAATACGCAAACAGAAATCTTTTTGGAAAACCTTTATTAGTGGGCCACAGCTTTTCTAAGATTACATTTGAAGCTCAGTCTCATGCTTACTGACCATTAATTCTTAAATTTATTTATATACAAAAGCCCTAACTGAATATGACAAAGGTATGGAACTTCTTTTAAGAAAAATGTATATAGGCTCACTATTTTCTTTACAATTTCAGACGTCTCAGAGACCACTAACTTCCAGTTGAAGTTCCAGTTAAGTGTAGAAGATCTTACCAAACATCAGAAAGTCTTTATTTCAGTTTACAGACTGGAATTTTATATTCAAGTCCTATACAAGCGTAGAGTGGTGGCTATGTTACAGTTCCAGTTAAGTGTAGAAGATCTTACCAAACATCAGAAAGTCTTTATTTCAGTTTACAGACTGGAATGTTATATTCAAGTCCTATACAAGCGTAGAGTGGTGGCTATGTTACAGTTCCAGTTAAGTGTAGAAGATCTTATCAAACATCAGAAAGTCGTTATTTCAGTTTACAGACTGGAATGTTATATTCAAGTCCTATACAAGCGTAGAGTGGTGGCTATGTTACAGTTCCAGTTAAGTGTAGAAGATCTTATCAAACATCAGAAAGTCGTTATTTCAGTTTACAGACTGGAATGTTATATTCAAGTCCTATACAAGCGTAGAGTGGTGGCTATGTTACAGTTCTTCCATAGGGTATTTTAAGAAGGTAAATGAATAGACTGCTCAGAGCAGAGTAAACCTCTAGAAGTAGAAGAAGAAAGGAACAAATAAATCCAGCCAGAGAATATTTATGGAAATAAATCAATCATGAGAGCAGGTAATGTCAGAGACTCAAATATCTGAATGAAGTTTTTCTAATTCTGGAATATAATAGGCATGTGTACTCAAATTAAATGATGCTATCAATAAACCATCAATGACTAGCTGAGCAGCTTGTACACAGTAGAAGCTCAATAAACAGTTCCTGAATTTAGAAGGGTTTCTTTCTTGGAGAAAATTACTTTAAAGATGATTAACAAAGCACACTGAGAAAGCACACTAACCAGAATCTCTGACATGTAATGAAAATGAACTAAATTTTCAAAAGGAAAGGCTACCAAATTAAGTTTTTAAAAGATGATTAAAATTTTATAAAGAGAAAAATGATAATAGTCTTCATTTTGATTATAAAACTGACTCATAATTTGATTTAAATCAAGACAACTCTCAGTGAAATCAGGGACAACTCTTTTTGCTTATTACTTCAGTCTTCCTCTGAAAAAGAGACCCTCTATGTTTTTACAGTAATAGCTTCTAGAGAACTCCATAAATAGGATACCATCCTATGTCTGTAACAAGAGAATAGGCTCCAATTGGGAACTAGCAGGGGGAAAGAGCCTACAACGAATTGTCCATATTAGTATCTATGGATTGTTTGTCTATAATATGAGTCACTCAGAGCACTTGCCTGGGTTGGGAGCACTACATCCAAATGCAAAAAAGAACAAACTCAGAGTGTCCTTGATTCATACTGCCTCACTTTAAAGAAATCCAATACATCATAGATAACTCTGAATTTGTATAATAAATGAAATCAACATGTATTCACATGCATTACAAAAGATTTCTTTGATTTCCAAAGGATTCAAAGCAATCCTTTATATCAGCAGCTCTACACTGTAATCTGAGTGTTAAATTATTTTTGTAATAATGATATTGAAACATACATAAACTACAACAAAACTCTTAGTGCTTATAACAACTCATATAACAGTAAAATCTTATAAATTAAATACAAACACAAACAAAAAACCACTAGTGTTCAACCAACAACATTAACATGACAGGAAAAAAGATGTTTGCTGAAACAAAATCTCAATTGGTAACATGACTACAATGCTGACTGCCAATACACCTCCTCTTCTGAGTGTGGAATGCCAGTAAGACTGTGTTAGATGTGATGTAATTCTCCTAGTACCTCTCTCTACTATGAACGAGCATAGCAGAGTGGCTAGGAGCTATGGAGTCAGACAAAGTGTATGAAAACCAACTCTACTATCAGCTGTGTAAGCTTGGGAAAATTAACTTTTGTGTACTTCAGTGCCCTCATCTGTAAAACAGGAATACTGATCACACATACCTCACAGGTCTGTTATGAGAATTGAGAACTCCTAAAACACAGATCCTTATATTAATTATGATTCATGATTATACATGAAGAGTATTTAGAACAGTGCCTAGAACATAGAAGATGCTCAAAGAATGTTAGCTAATAGAATGTGAACTGTCACAAAACTTACGTCATACAGTGGGCTGTGGCATCATTTGGCCGTCTACTGGACAGGAATACATCACTTACACATTAGATATGCCTCAGCTCTTACTAACTCTTCACAAAGTAGTACAGTAGTACCTGGAGCCAACATTACCAAACAAGCATAAACATAGGGATTGTAATCTCTTGGCTGGCATCACTAGTTTATAAGATGGTCATCTAGATGATCTAGAATATGCTCCTTTTACATTTTCAGATGATTGCTGACATGAACACATTATATTTTTAATTCTCATAGGAAACCTACAAACTCCTAAGAAAATATATGCAGATCCCAGTTTGCATATGCTTAAAACAACATCTCCTAATTATATTACGTAAACTTTCTGAAACATCTCTATTGTACAAAATAGGGTATAGTTCAAACTTAACATATATATTCAATAATATTGCCAATACAAATTTCTTACGTTGTTAATTTTTAATAACCCATAGTAGATGATCTCTGATCTCCT